ATATATAAAATAGGCTTGTAATGTTGGTCCACTTTGTGCTTTGAATTCTGTCCTTGCTGCTCTGCTACTGGGACTTAATTTTAAAAGGACATGTTTCTTTCTCTTCCTCTCTCCCTCCCCCTCCCTCACCTCTCCCCCTCCCTAATCTCAGGGGAGACAGGTGTACCTTTCTTCCCTACCCTAGGCCCTAGGCCATTATAGGTCCTGGAGCACACACCCACCATGGGGACAAAGGAATTCAGACTTGGGGACAGTACCAGAAGATCTCAGAAAGGCCATCTCCCAAATGAACAAGTGAATTACAACTGTGACACAGAACGAGTGAAAGGAGCCTTTGAATCACCTCTTTGAAAACTCCCTGTTCCCCTGGATGGGCAGAGTCACAGCCTCTGGGTCAGGAGTCCCCTGTGCTTCTCCTTTGCCAGCAGAGCAACAAAACTTCTTTTTCCTTTTCCTCAAAACCGTGTCCTCATTATCAGATTGGCTTCAGGGACAAGGATGGAGCTTTCGGTAAAGGATGATCTCACGGGTGTGGGATCAGTCACAGATTCCCTCCCAGCCCAGCCTGCCGAGGCAGACCTTTAATTCCTAGCTGAGTTTCCCCAACTGCCACCCTATTCTACTCCTCCCTCAGTCTTCAGCCTCCTGCCTGGATTCTGGAACATTCTCATCCATGTACTTCCTGACCTCACTTCGTCAGGTCTCTGCTCAATGCCATCTCTGTGCTGGCCACCTGCTCCGTGTCCACTTCCTGTCACCCAGCTCTCCTGTCCTCTCCCCTCTCAGTCATTCCTCTGGCCACTTGGCAGTATATTAAACTTCTGTATGCTCACTTTTTATCACCTGTATTTCCTGACTACAATGTCATTTCCATGAGAATGGGGGCTTGCTGCCCTCTGTCCAGAGCCCAGGTCTCAGACTGGTCACCCTTTATCACCTGGGAACTTGTTAGGAATGCAGGCTGCTGGGCCCCATCCAACCCGCGGCCAGCCCATTCAGACACTGCGGGGTACGACAGGCCTCCCCTTGGTGAGGCTCTGATCAGGTTTGACCTGAGCGCTCTGTTCCTAACGAGGGCTCAGCATATGGCTGTTTGAGCGAGGGCACAAGTGACATCCAGAGCTGCTCTTAGTTTTTTACGATGCAAGATGAGGGGATCAGCAAGGAGGAACTGGGTGTGAGCTGGAGAAGGCAGGTGACTTCTCCAGGGACAGGACCAGGTGGAGCTTCAAAGTGAATCCCCGGGAACAGGAAGCAGGATGTAGGAAGAGGAAAGAGTGGGAGTGGGGTGTTTCAGAAAGATGTCCAGAAATGACCCTGTTTTGTGAGACTATGGGATGAGGACGTCATGACTACATGTCATGACATTTGTACAGAAGAAATTCTGTATAAAAAAGTCTTGAACTGTGCAGAATTTTCCTCAATTGACAGACTTTGTCTCTGGTCCTGTGACTCCCATGGGACTGAGCCACACTGTCATGATTGAACAGAGCTCCACTATATAGGCTCCAGCATCACCGTCTTCTCAGTAAGACCTGGCCCATAGCCGACGGCTTCTGATACTGACTGTCTATGGGGAGCAAGGGCCTGAGCTTTGATCCATGTGGACTTGGGGCCAAATCTGGGACCCTTGCTTGTTCCCTGTGCCCTTGGTACTAGCTGCACACTTTGGCACTTGACTTGGCTTTTGTGAGCAAAGTGAAGCTAATAATACCGACCTCGGCGAGTTGATGTGAGGATTACCCATGTCACACCCCCTGGCACCGAGACCCATTGGCACCACTTGATGAATACTACTCCCCTTTCCCTGACCCTCATTTCCCTCTCTTAGCAAAGCTTAGCGATTGTACAACTAGGACGATTAACAGACCCCAGGTGAGATGCAGCCGACCACGGTCATATCTGCACCAAACTTCAAGCTGAGCAGACCGAGAACAAACAAGACCGGCAGGACATGGTGGCATCATCCTTTGGATATGCTTAAAAAACAAGTGAGCAGGTTTCCTGAAAGTTCTAGCAGGCGACTCCCGAAGAAACAGGGTCAGCCCCTGAAACCAGGGAGCTGCTGTGACCTTTGGAAGCAGTGACCGTCTGTCCTCCTCCGGCAGGCGCGTGTTCTCGAGGCCAGCTGGGATTTCCTGATGTGCCGCAGCGGGGAGCATAGCACATCCCCACGGGGTCACTGAGTGTTTTAGGCAATTGCTTTCTCCAGGTCATTGTGGTCACTGAGGCGTGGGTGGCACCGTGTTCCAGCCTGAGATTGGTCTGATTGATAGCAATGAGGCACGCCCTTCGTCAGTGCCCACGTGGGCAGGGAAGTGCCAGCTGCGAGGGCACCGAGAGCAGAGCCAGGTGGTGGGATGAGGAGGCAAGGATCTCGGGGCGTGTGGGAGGAGGAGCAACCCCATTGACCGAGGGCTGCACGTTGGTCAGGTGCTCCTGGGAAGCCCGGGAAACTGAGTCTCAGAGGCTCCACAAACGAACCCAGGGCACACAGCCAGGACACGATGGCACCAGGATCCCAGAGTTAGCACCACACTCCAGGACCTTCCACCAGGGGATGCTGAGAAGTGGCCTAGAAGGTGGCCGGAATGTGGCTTCAGTATTCCCCAGTGCACTGCAAAGATATTTTTGAGCAAGAGGAATAAACAAATTACTGTGTCAGTAACCCCCTTTTTTGATGACAGAAGAGTTCTTAGTATGAATATTATCCAGTAAAAATTAATTTAGTGTGGAGTGTATCTCAGTGGTTGGGTGTTAGCTCGTGTGAGTTCCTGGGTTCAACCTCCAGCACTGAGAAAGTAAGAGAGAGAGAGAGAGAGAGAGAGAGAGAGAGAGAGAGAGAGAGAGAAAGCCAACTTATCAGGAAGAAATACTACTTCTTTTTTGTTTGTTTTTGGGTTTTTTTAATCTTATTTATTTATTAATTATTTTATTTATTCTAATTTGTTATATATGACAGCAGAATGCAATTCAATTCATATTACACAAATAGAGCCCACTTTTTCATGTCTCTGGGTGTACACAAAGTAGAGTCACACCATTCGTGCCTTCACACATGTACTGAGGGTAATGATGTCCCTCTCACTCCACCGTCTTTCCTACTCCCATGCTCCCTGATGCCTGGGAACTGAGTTCCACTCTCTAGACTGCACCTATTCATTGAGATGCTATCCCTCGGGCTGGAAGAACAACTAATAAACTCTGTAGAGTTCTTGGCCCCTTTGGAGTACTACTATAAATCTTCCTACTCCCACAGAAGTTCAGGCTAAGCCAGATCGCTGCCACGTGCAGAAAGAGCAGGGCTCGGAAGAGACAGAGGCAGGCTCTGCTGGTTTTCTCATTAGACTTCAGTTAGCTCATCTATAAAATGGGGATAATTACCTCCAACTGGTCAGAATCAAGTTCAATGCTCAGTAGGCCCTGAGCGGATGGTGGCTGTCCCATCATCATTAATGTAGAAGAGGGAGAAAGCAATGGACCCTCCCCATGAGGTTGAGGTTGGCCAGCAATGTGACTTGCTATCCCTGGGCAGTGGTGGGGAAGGATAGCTCCTGTCTTCCAGAAGGTACTTGCAGGGGACTGATGGACAGGACTCCGATCTCCTCCAGAGAACCCTGTTCATCCCCTGCCCACTCACCTGCAGGCTTCGGTGGTCTCAGGTGTTGAAATAAGTCTCTTTAGATCAGTTGTGCCCAAGGATGGGTGCAGGGGTCTAAATACTACAGCAGGCGGTGACGTCGTGAGTAAGGGAAATGAGGTACTAAGAAATCATGCAGATTATCATTCATCATCACGACAGTGGCACTGTCACAGGCCTCGACGTGCCAGTGGATGTGGTAGAACTTGAAGGTGGTGTGTGGCAAGAGTGTTCCCAAACTCAAGTGGAAGACGCTTTGGAAGCATTTTATTTCATCAACCCCGAAGCTCTCCTCACCCTGAAATCCTGTGATTCTGATATTCTGGTTGTGCAGAGGGGCTGGTCCTTTAGAGGACAGCAAGTCATGACGTCAGCTGCTGGATGAGGCAAAGCCCCCTTGCCTTTTGCGTCTGGAGGCATCTACAGATAATTGTTCATGTTCCCCGCTTTGGGGTGGATATGCATTTACCAGGCCCATTTGTTCCTGTGCGTTTAAAAGGCCCACGCTGAATTTTAGAATCAAGCGGAAAGTGGCAATGCTCTTCTGAGTCCCCTGTGGTGCAGGTTGCAAGCCAACCTCAAAGCAGACCCTGAACTTGCACTGATCAAGAGAAGCTGAGACAACACTGTGACAGCCACAATCAGATGAGCCGTAGGACAAAGCAGTTGTGACGGCAAAGGCTTCCAAGTTTTGCTTTTCATTTTAATGTTGTCTTTATGTACAGCATCCTTTTCTTTAAACAGAATGCCTTTATTTTATTTACTTATTTAATGTGGTGCCGAGGATCGAACCCAGTGCCTCACACATGCCAGGCAAGCGCTCTACCACTGAGCCACAGCCCCGGACCAATAGTATCCTCAACTAATAGAACTACTAAATAGAAAAACAGTGACGGCCCCTAATGCATTTCTGGGGGACAGTGGCAAAGCTTCTGTGGAGGGTTTTGAGTCCGTGAAGTCCAGCTTGGGGAACTCAGGACTGGATGGCTGGGGTGCGGATGTGAGGTCTGCCGTGCAAGCTGCAGCTGGGCTGAGTGCTGTCCCTTGTACAGGCTGTGGCCCTCCCGCAGCCAGCTCCGGCTCCCTGCCACACTGCAGGGCTGGGGCTGGGGGAGAGTGCCCGCAGGGAGGTGGTCGCCCAGAACAAGGGTTGAGCCCACAGAATCAATTACTGGCTTTCTGCTGTTGCTTCAACTAATCAACAGCCAGGCAGGGCTGAGGAGGAAATTGGGTGTGTGCAGAGTAATCATTGACCTACTGAGGAAGGGTTCAGAGAGGCCAGGATGTTTGTAACTTTCTTGTTAAAGTGTGACTTCAACCAAGGGGATGCAGGGCACTGAGTTCAGGGATGAGATCTGTGTCAACCGGAGCAAGTCCAGCGGGGTGCCTGGGCGTGTGCCGGCGAGCACAGGAACGGCTGAGCACAGAATGTTGAAAAACACAGGCTAAATCTAAAGCAAATAACGTGAATGTGCTGTCTTCCAAGTTCCCAGCTCAGCGCTTCATGAAATGTGCAACTATGGCCACCAGAGACAGGGAGAGAGTTTGCAGCCGTTATGTGAGCATCATTCCCAGGAAACCAGAGGTGCTGTGGGCTTATTTTATTTTAGGAAGGACACTCACCATGAAATCTGTGCTCCTGGCAGATTTTTTAAGTGTGCTATTGTTATCTACAGGCAGACAGTATGTTGGACAGGGGTCATCACATCTCAGAGGTCATTCTTTCCCTGGACAGTTTGTTAAGGTGCAGATGCCTGGTCTCCACTCCCCAGTGGTGTGGATAACATATGTTTAGGCTGGGACCCAGCTACATTTTAAACAAGTGCCACAGAGGATGCTGATGGGACTGTTCTGTGGAACACACTTTGAGAAGCGCTGGACTAGGGGTAAGTGAAGAAGGGCTTCCTGGAGGAGGTGAGGGTTGAGCTGAGATCTAAGTGATGGATATGAGGTTGCTATACACGAAAGACACAAGAATCTCGAGTGCAATACTTCACAAATGTGGCCCCCAGACTGGGGCTTTTCTACAGTCTGTCTGTGGCCAGTCCACATCAAGGTAGCTACAGAGATTTAGTGTTGAGATCTTGGGTGGCTGTTTGCCAGTATCAGGACCTCCCAGTGTGATCCGTGGATCCTTCAGTGGACCCATGAGGGGATCACACAGGACATGCGATGTGAACTAGCTGCGGATCATGGATCTGTGCAGGGTGGGTTAGAAGTTAAGCCAAATGAAAAACCTCAAACTGGTTCTTCCCCACAGGGAGGCAAGAGAGCAGCTGTCTTTGAGCAGCTGAAGGATGTATATTTTTTTATTTCGTTTTTTGTTTAAATTTATTTACTTATTCTAACTTGTGATACATGACAGCAGAATGCATTTCAATTCACAGTACACATATAGAGAATAACTTTTCATGTCTCTGGTTGTACACAAAGTAGAGACATACCATTTGTGTCTTCATACATGGACTTAGGGTAGTGATGTCCATCTCATTCCACTGGCTTTCCTACCCCCATGCGCCCTCCCTTCCCCTTTCTCCCCTTTGCCCTATTTAAAGTTCCTCCATTCCTCCCACGCTCCCCCAACCCCATTATGGATATATATATACACAATGGAATATTACTCAACATTAAAAAATAATAAAATCATGGCATTTGCAGGTAAATGGATGGAGTTGGGGAAGTTTACTTCATGCTAAGTGAAGTAAGCCAGTCCTAAAAAAGCAAAGGCTGAATGTTTTCTCTGAAGGATGTTTATGGTGATGGGGCCTCAGGTGTGAGATGCAGGTAGCAGCAGGTAAACTGGAGAGGAAGGGGTCAGCTTGCTACCTGAGTAAGAAATTGAGATGTTATCCTTGTGCATGTGGAAACCCCACGTGGGCTTAAACTCACTGCTACATCTGGGCACCTGACCGCCCTGTCAGATTTTAGCAAAACCCTTCTGGGAATTTGGGTTTCCATTTCTCGCTGTTTCCAAAGCCAGGCAAGACTAGGAAAGCTGTTTGTCTGAATCTTCTACTTTTTACTTACTTTTCTTTTGGGGGTTTCCTCTCCCTTCTGAGGCTGGGCTTGGTGGTGCTCACCAGGGTGGCGACTCCCTGGCTCTGAGCCCCTTCACACCTACCCGCCAGCCCATCCCTTGCTCCCTGTCAGCTGAGCTCGGGCTCCAGCCTGGATCTCTGGCCCTACGTGTCTCACTGGGGAAGGAAGGCAGCTGGTGTCTTCAGACACCCTGGTGCTACACAAAAACCTTTCAACCTCTTGTTTCAAAAATTTCAAACTGCAGAAAAGTTGAAGGAATAACAACAGATACTACCTTTTTACCCTGCACCCAGACTCTCCATATTGTTAGCATTTTGCCATGTTGGTCTTCTATTTTGTAGTAACTATGATACACAACACGTATTATTTTTCTGCTAAACCATATGAAATAGGCCCCTTTGCTCCTAACAATTTCAGTTAAGTATCTATTAAGATTAAGGACATCCTCTTAGATCAAATCATCGAATTCAGATAAGTTAATATGGGAGCAATATTATTATGCTGTATTATAATATTGTATAATATTGTACTATTATTCAAATCTCCCCAATTGTTCCTCAAAATGCTAGTCTATGTAGTTAATTTCCAATCCAAGATCCAGGGCCATATGTTGTGTAGCTGGGTCTCTTCAGCTCCAATTCCGTGGAAGAGTTCCTCAGCTCTTTCACGCCTTCTGACCTTGGCAGCTTTGGAGCACAAAGGCCGGTTGCTCTGTGGGCCGACCCTCAGTTTGGTTTGCTCTTCTGTCGGTTCCCTCCTGATTAGACCTGAGTTAAACATTTTGACAGAGAAACTGCAGGTGCAGTGCTGTGTTCTTGGCACATCACATGATGAGGCAAGGATGTCCCTCTGTCACGCACTGGGAATGCATAGTGAGGTGGGTCCTTGACATTAAGATGCAATTCACCAGAATGAACTTCTTGCTGAGATGGCTTTGGGGGTGTACAGGCTGTGTTGGGACAGGTGGGGAAACACTTCTTCACTCTGTGTGAGGGCAGAGTCTCAGCCAGCCCCCATCAAGGGACATATGGTCAGCAGTCAGGTCACCCCCTGGCTCCCCCAGGGCTGGCATCCTAGTGAGCAAGGACAGGCAATGAGCGTAACCTCAATAAGAAGTCAAGGCCAGGAGGTTGTGATAAATGCCGTGACGGAAATAAAACAAGAGAGTGGGCCAGAGTCAGGCTGTGAGAAGGTCACCATCCACAAAACCATGCCCCTGCCCTCCTAGAGCGCCCCCTGCAGTGAGGAGGCCAGGGAGACCCCGATGGGTAAACCTGGAGCAGTCAGGTGGCTTCAAGAGCCAGGAAGAGGGATGAGGGGGTGGGTAGCCCATATTCTGCATATGGCAGGACCTTGCTTAGTAGGTGACATTTGGGTGGAAATGGGGGTCGGGGGCCCAGGCAGAGGAGCCTGAGAGCAGCACTGGAGGCCAGAGCCTCTGTAGCAAGGGAGTGAAATTGTGGTGGCCTGGACAGGACATGGGTGAAAGGAGGGGACAGAGGGGACAGGAGGAAACAGGAACCAAGATATGGCCAGGGATGCAGGCCATAGTGAGGAGGTTGGATGGTCTCCTAGTGAGCTAGGAAACCGTTGGGAGGTTGAGAGCTGGGAGCCATCATCCACATTTTAAAAGTATCACTTTGGTAACGATGTGGAGAAATCAATGAGGGAGAGTGAGCAGGGACATCAATACCCAGAAGGAAGCCGGCTTGGGGGCTTGATCTGGTTTTATTGACCGTCATCTCCCCAGGGCCTGAGATGGACGCTCAGTATCTGTTAAGGGAATGGGGGTCGGAGGGGAACAGCCGTTTTCTTCCTTCACCATCAGCATCCAAGTGTGGGCTCCTCCCTGCTCGGGGCGGGTTTGCACCGTGTCTGTCTAGCTGGGGAGGACCACATCTCCCCACATCACATTCCTCTAAGTTTCACAGTTGGGTTGTGCACGAGAGAGGTTTGCACAAGATTTACAGGCAGAAAGTGAAGGCCTGATGGTCACTACCGAGCCGACACTCTGATGGCCCTTGGCAGCCGTCCCTGGTCTGTAAGCTGGTCCCACTGGCATGAAGAGGTGGCTCTGTCCACAGCTCCTGAAGCCACCGAGGGACAACGCCTTCTGCTCTTTGAGTCCCGGTCCAGGCAGATGTGTGACTGCATGGTGAGGCATCAACTGCTGGTGCGGGTCACTCACACCATTGGGGTCAGAGGTGAAGAGGAGCGGCACGATTTCTGCAGGTCATGGAGTTTGCAGGGTGTTCCCCATCTCCCCAGTCCATGCCGTCCTCTGGATGGCCAGTTCTGCTGACACCAGCCGGAGTGTAATCCTATCACCCATCACCCTTCTCTATGGCTCCTCATGAATCCACTTCCCGGATGAGCCCTGTGCACACAGGCTGAATTCAAGCACTTCTTAACCTTAGGGTTTCTTTATTCTAAATTTTAGGGGAAAAAAATTAAAATTTTGAGTAAATTTACAAAGAAAACTATTCTGCTTCTAGTGATGTTCAACCAAGCCTACCGTGGCGTTTTCAAGTGGATCAAGATGTTTTTCTTTGCATTTGGAAGCTGTTTGGTGAAGAAGCAGTTTTTGCTGTTTGTTTGCCCCGGAAGGATCTAGGAGCACTCCTCGGAGTCGGTTTTGCAACATGTGAACCGAGTGCTCCCCGTGAGTGGTGGAGGTGGCCAGGTGCAGCTGGCAATCATTGGCAGGCCCCCGCTGTCTCTGCTCCTGAGCTGTGACCTTTCACTGAGTTCCTGCGATTAAAGTTCAGTCCCAGGGTGAGGCCAGACCTCAAAAGATCCTAACGTTTTTGGACAAATGTGGGGTGGGGGAGAATGACTTTTCAGATCCAAGCAGGAGCTTGCAGGTCAGATTCTAATGCTTTCTGGAGCTAGGAAAGTGGATTAAATGAGTAGAAGGGACCAGTGGTAACCTGGGACAGACCTATCTCAGGGGCAGCTGCGGTTCAGCCTGCCCATTCTTTCCATCCAGAGACGTGCAGCCTTGGTACACAAACCTTCCACTTAATTGATTCATTTTATTTTTCGATCTGATTTTTTTAGCTTGTAATAATTGTAGACATGAATGAGGTCCAGTGTGACATTTCAACACGTGCATTCAGTGTGCATGGATCGAATTAGGGTAATTAGCATTTCCAGCTCCTTATCATTCCTTTAGTCTGGAGCCTTTGATCTCCGCTCTCCCACAGCTTCATCAAATAAATGACAGGACATTGTGCACTATGGTTGTCCCATTGCACAGTGGAGCACCAGAGCCTTTTCCTCCTATCTATCTGTGTTTTGGCACCTGTTTCTATTCTTCTTTCATGCCCCTCCAACCTTTAGTAATTGCTAGTCCACACGCAGATTGACTTTTTATGGGGAATGTGTCTTTCTGTGACTTTGCTTGCCTTTTCTTCCCTACTGTCCTGAGTTCCTTCCCTTTGGCTGCAAAGGACATGATTTCATTCTTCTTTGTGGCTGAATAATATTCCATTGTGTACGTACACCCACATTTTCTTCATCCACTCATCCCCTGATAGACACCTAGGTTGTTTCCATACCTCAGCTATTTTGAATGGCACTGCAATAAACATGAGCAAGCAGGTGTTTGATATGCTGATCTCATCTGCTTCCACACCTTCCTTTTGAAATCTGGAATTCATGTGAAATGTTACTTTTTAATTTTAACAACAGATTATACTTTTTTTTTAAATGCAAAATGAGCCAAATGCTATGTGTCTGCAGGCTAGACAAATCCCAGTGGTCATTTATGGCCTGCTCAATATAAGAGGCCACTGTGGTGGCAGCACCTGCCTGCCTCAGAGCAGCTGCCCTTGGTGACCAGCTG